AAATTCTATTTGAAGCACACACATGTACAGAATGCAGATGTGGAGATGAAAACCAGACCATCTGGGGGAACCAAGCTGTGATACTTAACTGTAGGGAGGCCATTAGTGGCCTTTCTGCAGTGACCTTGCCCAGGCATGGCTGGGTCATGGACCTCAAGAGTGGTTTTGGCTTTTGCTATAGCATAGCAATCAATGGGACAATCACCACACCTCCCACTTGGGGCCAAAACATTGCATATCTGTCATCAGACAGGCTTAAAAGGTATTTTCTGCATTCTGAGAAATGTGTACCAGCATGGAGATTCTGGAAAACTAGTTCCCTGAAAAAGCTGAGGGTCAACACAGGAGAGGGGACATGGAGCTCTTATGCATGACATGAAAGGACTGCTCTAGTCAACGAAACAGCCACTTCAGAATGTATTTCTACTGTGGACACAAACCAAGGGCAACGTTACTAGGCTGGTTACATCATCTAGCAAAAGCCCGGATAGACCCACAAATGAGACATTCCTTTTCAATGACTGATAAATCATTCATTCATTCAACAAATATTTATTGAGAAACTACTTCATAACTTGTAGTCTAATAGGTACTAAGGATACAGTTACAAACAACTTAAAACTTAAAAAACATCCCTTAGCCCCAGCTACTCAGGAAGATTGCTTGTAAACCGTGTAAAAGGCAAGCGTGAAAAGACCATTCTCTTGGCAGAGGCATCTTTCCCATCCTCTCTGGCTTGTCACGTTCTGTGACTGGACTCGTGCACCCAGCTGGCAGCTGCACCAGCCAGACCCTGGAGTTTGAGGCTGCAGTAAGCTATGATCACACCACTGCACTCCAGCCTGGGTGATGGAGCAAGACCCCATCTCTTTAAAAATAAAAATAAAAAAATCTCTGAGCTCATGAAACTTACATATTAGCAATAGAAACTGATCATAAGCATAAGCAATGTCATGAATTAAAATATGAATTATAACATATAGTAGAAAATGCTAAGAAACAGACATGAAGCAAAAATGAGAGTATGAAATAGTAAAATTCCAGCCAAGGGGGCCGTGGAATGCTTCACTGAGAAACCAACTTTAATAGAGACCTGACTGATGGTTTGGATAGGTTTAGACCTAGATCAAAAATATTTATCTCTAGGTTTTCAAAGGCATTGCTCCATTATCTCTTTGTTTCTGAAGTTGCTGCTGAGAAAGCTAATGGCTTTCTGGTAACTGATCCTTCCTAAGTAATGTTTTACCTATTCTGAGAGCTTTTAGGATTTTCTGTTTTCCTCCTGTCTTCTAGAATGTCTCAGTGACAAATCTGTGTGTTGAGCATTTCATGAAGTTTTACAATCTGCGATCTCATGTCCTTCAGTTTACAGGGAAAAAAGAACATTCTTACAGTATTGTTTTGGAAAACTGTTTTTTTCTGATCTGTTTTACCCAATCTTCATTACCGGAGATCTTGGTGCTCTGACATCATTATATTTTTCATATTGCTCTTCTCTCTTTTCCCATCTCTCAGTCCTTTTTTTTGTTTTGTTTTTTTGGCTCCACTTTCTCAGATTGCATCAACTTTTTCTTCTTCACTGAATTTTTAAATTCTGCTTTCATGGTTCCCAGAGTCTGGTCTTATCCTCCAAACACTCCCCCTTTTACTGGACTGTTTGGTCTCTTTTGAGTTTCTTCTTCCTGTTTCTTTGAGTGTTTTCATTTGTGTTAGAAGCTTTTATAAAAATGTTTGTGAAATCTTGGGAGTCTGCTAATGCATGAATGAGGCATGGTTGTAATATCGGGAAGTTTTATACATGGGTCCAGCTGCTTCATTATGGAGTGATCAAACAGAAGCTGAATATGACCCTGCAGTGGCTCATGCCTGTCATCCCAGCACTTTGGGAATCCAAGGTGGTTAGATTGCTTGAGCTAGGAATTCAAGACCAGCCTAGGCAACATGAAAAAAACCCCATCTCTAAAACAAAATACAAAAAAGTTAGCTGAGTATAGTGGTGCACTCCTATGGCCCCAGCTACTCGGGGGTCTGGGGCAAGAGGATCACTTGAATCCCTGAGGTTGGGGCTGCAGTGAGCCCTGATCATGTCACTGCACTCCAGCCTGGGTGACAGAACAAGACCCTGTCTTTCACATACACACAAAAGTCTGTCTCTTCTCATGGGTCGGTCAGCATTCCTAGAGGGGACCTTCCAGTATCCTGACTAAGGTGCTAGCCCCTTTTCCAGCATTTGCTTGGAGGGCACATCAGCCCCCTTCCCTACACCTGATCAGCCCGAATCCAGTGTGTCTCATGTGGGCTCTTCCATCTTCTGTGGATGTGATGTGTGGTTACTTGGCTGAGTAGCGTTGGGAAAAGAGATGGACTTTTGCTACATCACTGGTCCCCAACCTTTTTGGCACCAGGGACCAGTTTTGTGGAAGACAATTTTTTCATGTTCAGGGTTGCAGGGAGATGGTTTCATGATAATTTAAACACATTAGATTTAGCATGTACTTTATTTGTATTATTACTGCTTTATAATATATAATGACATAATTATGCAACTCATCATAATGTAGAAGCAGTGGGAGCCCTGAGCTTGTTTTCCTGCGGCTAGTCAGTTCCATCTGGGGGTGATGAGTGACACCGACAGATCATCAGGCATGGGATTCTCATAAGGAGCAGGCAACCTAGATCCCGCACATGTGCAGTTCACAATAGGGGGGTCACACCCCTGTGAGAGTCTTATGCTGCCGCTGATCTGACTGGAGGCGGTGCTCAGGCAGTGGAGAGCAGCTGTAAATACAGATGAAGAATCCCTTGCTCACCCATCACTCGCCTCCTGTTATGTGGCCTGGTTCCTAACAAAGCAAGGACAGGTACTGGTTTGTGGCCTGAAGGCTAGGGAGGGATGTGCTACACCATTTTAAAATAAAGTTCCATCAGGCACCATGCGTTCAACTCACTCTGCGTTTCTACCTTCAGAAGGGTTGGAGCCCCATTTCCTGAGCTTCCCTGGCTCTGCGTGTTATACTTCGAGTTATTCTCTTGAAGGTTTAGGTATCAGCTTGCTCTTGTCTACTTCCCCCCTCATTCCCTTACTTCTTTGATGTATGCTTTGTTCTCCCTTCTTGTCACTGTAATGGCATTTCTGGAGGAAGCGGAGACAAATGTATTACATGAGCTGCCATGTTGAACCGGAAGTCATTCTTGTTTCGTTTGAGTTTCTCTTGCCAAAGCTTACTCCAGTGGTAGTAGTTCATGCCAGTAGAATCTCACAAAAAGCTAGACTGAAATTCAGTGTCAGGATTGTAGATATCTTGTTTCAGTTATCCGCTTCTGAGTAACTAATCACCCTAAGTATAGTGACTTCACATGACAGTCATTTATTTGCTTATGATTCTGCAATTTAGACACTGCTTGGAGGGAGCATCTCATTTCTGTTGGCATCAGCTGGGGTAGCTCACCTGGAGCTGGGGAGTCCACTCCCAAGATGGCTCATCCACATAACCTCAGTGGTTCCAGCTGTAGAATGGGCCCTTAGATGGGTTGGTTCCTCAGCATGTGACCTCCCCATGCAGCTAGGTTGGACTCCTCAGAAACTGAGTTCTAAAAGGGAACATCCCATGACCAAGCTCACCAAGAGGACAAACTCCAGGGTATAAAAACATATCAAGCTTTCCTTTTGCATCATACTTACTAATATCCCATTAGCCAAAGCAAGTCACACAGCCAAGCCCAGAATCAATGTGGGACAGCACTGCTCTCCACAGGGGGATAAGGGCTAGGAGGTAGGGTGCGCTGGGGGCCACATACCCCCTGGGAACTCCGAGATCCTGTTCTTCTTCCGTTTTATTTCTGAAACATTGAGGTGCCGGATTCTTTTCTTATAGATAGTTTAGCATGATATAAACGTTCAATAAGTATGTATTAGAACCACAGAAATCTTGTCGCATTTCCACTGAAACTGTTTATGAATGGACTAGAAAGATTTAAGCTGTATAGCTTACCCAGGACTATAATGATTGTATTTCTAGTTAATGAAAAAAAGTTACTCTGTGAGGTCAGATTTCTAAATATACCTTTCCAGGGAATTAAGTCTTGTCTTTTTTATTTATTTTTATTTTTTTTTTTTTGAGACAGAATCTTACTCTGTCACCCAGGCTGGAGTGCAGTGGCATAATCTTGGCTCACTGCAACTTCTGCCTTCCAGGTTCAAGCAATTCTCTTGCCTCAGCCTCCCAAGAAGCTGGGATTACAGGCACCCACCACCACACCTGGCTGATTTTTGTATTTTTAGTAGAGGAGACAGTGTTTTATCATGTTGGCCAGGTTGGTCTCAAACTCTTGATCTTAAGTGATCTGCCTGCCTCAGTTTCCCAAAGTGCTGGGATTACAGGCATGAGTGACCACACCTGGCCAAGTATCGTCTTTTGCTTTAGGCTACCAGAGGTTAGCTTCTTGAATTTTTCTTTGTTTGTTTTTGAGTCATGGTATCACTCTGTTACTCAGGCAGGGGTGCAGTGGTACAGTCATAGCTCATTGCAGCCTCCAACTCCCAGGCTCAAGTGTTCTTCCCACCTCAGCCTCCTGAGTAGCTGGGACTACAGGCATGTGCCACCACACCCAACTAATTTTTAAAAAAAATTTTCAAAGAGATCGGATCTCGCTATATTGCCCAGGCCAGTCTTGAACCCTTGGCTTCAAGCGATCCTCTGGCCATGGCCTCCCAAAGCATTGGGATTACAGGCATGAGCCATTGCACTCAGCCCTTGAATTTAAAATAGTTGAAAATTAGGCTCTTTAACACCTGCTTGGACTTCAAAGAATGAAAGTGGGTACTTATGCAATAACCAGGCCGTACATTCCTTAGAAATTCCAAACCAAGATCTCTTGTTTCATGCTTGCCAAGCTTGTCCTGAACGTTCCTAAGTGCAGCAGGAAAGAAGTGGCTCAGCTTGTGCTGTGTGTCCCGTAAGTCTTGACCTATGACTAGTAACTGTTTCCTTTGTGTGCAGGGGTTCTCTATCTCCAGTATGGAGATGAAACCAAGCAGCTCAGGATGCCGAATGAAATCACAAGTGCAGACACAATCCGTGCTCTCTTTGTAAGTGCCTTTCCACAGCAGCTCACCATGAAAATGCTGGAGTCGCCCAGTGTCGCCATTTACATCAAAGATGAAAGCAGAAATGTCTATTATGAATTAAATGATGTAAGGTAAGTTGTGACATCATTTTTTGCCTACCATATTGCATTAGAGATTTTTTGTTTGTTTGTTTCTTTGTTTTGGGGTTTGTTTGGTTTTTTTACCCGCTATATTGCATTTAGAGTGGGTTTTTTCCCCATTATATCACTTTCACAGAGTTTGTACAAAATTCTAATTTCTCTATATTGTAGTGAAGAAAGCAGATTCATTATCCTGATGGGTAGACTTATTTCACCCAGTCAGATAATTTCACTATCTGGTTTTCTACAATTCATTTACAAGGTATAATTTATCAAAATGAGGACAAACTCCTCTTCCACAGATTTTTGAATGCTACATCTGAAAAGAACATTAGAAATGATTCAGTCACCATTTTATCTAACAGTTAGGGAAACTAAGGCCCAAAAAGTGGCGGAGAGACCTGATCAAGGTCATAAGAGTTGAAGGAATTAGAGCTTTCCCAATTCCCTCTCAAGTGTTCTTTCCTCCATAGACAGATGCTCTGGATATTTTAGGTAGTGACCCCAGTGGGTCATTATTTACACATAAAAAGTTAGAATAAAAACAGTGGACTGTGTATTATTTTCTACCAGAAAAAAGACTGAGAAGCATCCTCATTTTCCATTCATTTCTTAAATAATATCCTTTACCCGAAGACCTTACTTTCCAAGTGGGCTTTCTCCAGGGGTCACAGTCGAATATTCTCCAAAATTAAGCTAAATAGACTCCTGCTATTAATGGTATTGGGAGTAGGTTAGGAACAAAAGCAGCGCTCTCTCTCTCTCTGTTTTTTTTTTTTTTTTTTTTTGGTCATCCAGGCTGGAGTACAATGTTGTGATCTCAGCTCACTGCAACCTCTACCTCCCATGTTCAAGCGATTCTCCTGCCTCAGCCTCCCAAGTAGCTGGGATTACAGGCACCCACCACTATACCCAGCTAGTTTTTTTTTTTTTTTTTTTTGTATTTTTAGTAGAGAAGGAGTTTCCCCCATGTCAGTCAGGCTGGTCTCAAACTGCTGACCTCTGGTGATCCACCCACCTTGGCCTCCCAAAGTGCTGGGACTACAGGCATGAGCCACGATGCCTGGCCTCATCTCTCTTTTTTTTGAAGACAGGGTTTCGCTCTGTCACCCAGGCTGGACCTTAGTGTCATGATCATGGCTCAGTGCAGCCTCAACCTTCTGAGCTCAAATGATCCTCCCACCTTTGCCTTCTGAGTAGCTGGGACTACCAGCACATGCCACCACATCTGGCTAATTTTTTAATCTTTTGTGGAGACAGAATCCCTCTATGTTGCCCAGGCTGGTCTGGAACTCCTGAGTTCAAGCAATCCTATAGTCTCGATTCCCAAATGGTTGGGATTATAGCATGAGACACCACACCCCACTCAAAAGCATCTTTATTGTCATTTTGGTGTCATGTATACAGCAGAAAGAACTCATTTGATCTGTCCCAACCAAACAACCTAGAAAACAGGACTTACATCAACACAAGCAAGCAGCTGCTAGTATGGCCTCTAATCATTTTAGAACTCCATAGATTATTTGGTGACTAACTCAGCTATTTCATTTTATGGAACCAGAAACTTAGATGCATCAAAGCAAGGGACTTATTCAAGAGCACACAGCCACCCAAAGTACCAAGCTCTGCCCCAAGCATGGCTGTGCCAAACATGGCTGTTCACATTTCTTGGTCAAAAGCTTTTGGATCCCTTCGAATATTTCCTCACCAAATCATTGGGGGCAGGACTTGGGGTTGCTGGGTCCCCACCCTGGGGGGATGGCAAGTTTCCCTGTTTCTTCATCATGGAATTAATGGGTACCACTTTTTAAAAATATGCCTCTAGTGCATAATAAATGTAAACTGATCTTTATCTACCAATGATCACAAATGACGTATTAGGCATATGCGCAGGTCTATGAGTGATTTAGAGCTTTCAAAGCTTGACACATGCCCCCAGGTGTAGATGCTACATCTGTTGCACAGCCTTCCAGCTTTTTAAAGATGAGTTTAAATATTCATGGGTATCGGAAAATTCATGTTTGTTTTTGAACTAAATTATTAATCAAGCTATCACCAAAAGAAATTTTTTGCATTCACAAAGTGTAAACTTGAAACATGAAATAATCACATTATAGTTAAAGACTATGTTTGTAGTAATAGAATCCCAGGTAGTGTCTTTACACGGAGCTGCCAGTTACAACAATCATCTTATATTTCTGCATTTGCAATTAGAGGAATTGAGGGACACAGTAGTAGCAAGTAAACATGCAACTTAGGGAAGCCACAGTTGATTATGGAGCTCAAGGCTGACGAGGTTATTATGAATAATTGGGCCTTACTGTCTTGCAGCCTATGCAAGGATTTTTATATTACAAAGAGTCACCATTTTCTAGAGCCTTTCCCAAGCTTCAAAGTATGGCTTCTTTGACTTCTTTTTTGTGTTATTGGGGAAAGTCGAGAATAGTCACAAAATAAGAGAAATGAAAGGGAAGACTAGGAAGAAGGTCATGATTATCCTTAATGGAAATCCAGTTGATGGAATAAATGAAACAAGCACTTGAGAGAAGAGATGATCAATTTAAACACTAATAATTCTCAGTCAATATGTTGATATTTGTGAAAATTATGATCTTGTTGATCCATAAGTTGTAGTACTGTTAGCCTGATCTTTTTTTTTTTTTTTGAGACAAAATCTCCCTCTGTCACCCAGGTTGGAGAGCAGTGGCATGATCTCAGCTCACTGCAGTCATACCTCCGGGGTTCAAACAATTCTTGTGCCTCAGCCTCCTGAGTAGGACTACAGGTGTGCACCACCATGCCTGGCTAATTTTTATATTTTTAGCAGAGGTGGGGTTTCACTGTGTTGGCCAGGCTGGTCTTGAACTCCTGACCTCAAGTAATCTGCCCACCTTGGCCTCCCTGAGTGCTGGGTTACAAGCGTAAACCACTGCACCTAGCCTGATAGCCTAATGTTTTTTAAAAACTCTCATTTAACATATTTAAGTGGAAAAGTCACTGATTCATAAATTTGTCTGTAATTTTACTTTTTAGTTACTTTGATTTAATTATAAAAAATGAACCTAAAAATGTTTTCAAATGAAGACAGTGTTTTTATTTGGTGATGACAATAATGTTTATGCTATATGAGCACATGCGTGTCATTTCCAAAGAATTATTCTATTTCTTTGATTTTATGCATAAAATGCCTCGATTATATTTTATTTGAATGGTAGAAGAAATTTTCACCACCAGCATTATATAAGACAAAAAAAAAGTATCATGTAGATTTCAACTGACGACAATGACTTTAATCTTCTAAATTCAGAGAGAAATTTCATCGCACATCCTTCAGTGTTTCTGAAGTGTGAGCATATTTGATAAAGTTGCCTGGTTCATCACTATGTTAGGTTCCTCATATTTTCCTTAGGGAAATGCTACGGTGAGTTCAGGTCAGAATATTGCGTTGTCAATGTTGCCACAGTAAATCCAATCCAGGCCTTTACTGTTGGCTCATCTTGAATGCATATGTTTCTAAAGTCATGATAAACCAACTTCATGCATTTTAAATACCTCCAGAATCACAGTTAGCCTTTTCCCTGGCTCCCATGAGGTTTTCTATTTTTTCGCATCCTCACCTGTGACTTCTTCCTCTGGCCCAATGGTGAGCTGCTTCAGCGAATCCCCACATCCTTACCTCTGTGAGTCTCCCCTTCATGTTAGCCCAGCCCCTTTTAATAACAGGGGCTGCTGGCTCCCCCTGAAGCCGACTTCTAACAAGCTACTGGAGCACAACTGTGCAAGCTTGGGCTAGTCATTGCTTCAAAGCAATTACTGGCGGGTATTTAAAGGAGAGAAACAAGACTAGTCCAAGAATCCTCCACTTCAGTTAAAACAAAAACACAAGCCAGTAATTCCAGTGATTGGGTCAGCCCACTAAATGAGGCTGCACCTGGAGGAGAGGAATTCATCCTCCTGCACACATTTCTCTGAGCTAGCCGAGCCAGCCTTGGAGGGGATCGCAGTGTAGACAGAGCCAACAGGGCCTTGGGTGGCCCTTCTGGTGCTGCAAGCTGGACATGGAGAGAGAAGGACTTCGTAGACATTCATGTGCTCTTCAATAATTTTACGGTAGGCTCTGACCCTGTCTTTGCTATGGTATCTTTTGGCTCTAAGAGCTGGGGTCAGAGGAAAGAGAATTGATCTGCTGCTGTTTCTCTACATCCAGCAATTCAATTTGCAAATAGAAAAACTATTTTTTAATCCACTGTGGAAGAGAAAAAAGGCATGGTAAAGATATTAGTTTAGATCTTTGTAGTACTGTTTTGTTTTGTTTTTTTTCTGGACTGAAGATACCTTTTCTTTCCCTTGCCGAAAGTGTTTGAAGGCAAAAAAAAAAAAAATTCTTTCATGTGCATTCATTAGATAAGAAGCAAACCAGGTGTTGGGAAAAGTAAACAATTAAATATTTAAATATTAACCAAATCTCTTTGAATGTATTGTAAATATTGGAACTTTATTGTTTTTTTTAAAGTGTTAGCTTTCCATATTCAGAATCTTGAAAGAAAGTTCATGCTGCCCGATATTTATGGGTGGGGAGCTGTACTGGAGGAATAATTCTTTCCTGAGGAACCAGAAAAGGAGAGAAAAGCTGAAGTCATTTTTCTTCTTCTTTTCCTTATTTATAATTGCTCATTTTATGGTCCCATAACTTTTGACTGGGGTATTGTAGATAGCCTTTGGATTGTCTGTTCATGTTTTTTACCTGATCTTTAAGGGCAGACTAAGGAAATGGCCAAAGTCAGGCTTCTTTCATCTGCCATAGTTATTGATGTTTTTGATTCCAGGAACATTCAAGACAGATCACTCCTCAAAGTGTACACCAAGGATCCCGCACACGCGTTTAATCACACACCGAAAACGATGAACGGAGACATGCGGGTAAGTGGTTCTGTCCTGCTTTGAACTTTATTCAGTGGGTCAATGCCTCATTCCTCTTGCTTGTACTCCTGATGTAATCATACTCTACAACCCAGTTTTTGGGGGTGCTCCACACTCATCTCACCTAGGGGATCGTTATTTGTTCTTGGTAGAGATTTCCTGGTTATTTAGGGCAAAAAGGATTAAAATAAGGCTCGACACATCCTAATTGATCTTTAAGCATGGAGTTATGTCCTCACTTTAAAATTCTGAAAATCTTCCTATAAAAGGGTTCCTGGTCCATAATACATTAACCAGCTCAGAAGATCTCTTGCATTTTTTTTCTTCCAATTAAAGCCAACCTAACATACAATCAGGCAAACAACAAGGTGTACAATTTCACGGAAAATCTATTCATGTTCTTACATTAGCTCTTCCAAGTCCTAACATTCTAGTTCAATTTCCCACCTTGTAATTCAGGAGCTGAACCATGTTGAGGGCATAATACAAAAATCTGCATGATTTGGGAACTAAAATTCTCTAGATTTAGGTTGTCTCAGGAGGTTATCTGAGCATTCAAAGTGTGCAGGGATGTTTTGAAGGAAAAGGAGAAACTGAAAAAGCAGATTTAAGATCACATTAATGCTGGTCCACTAGAAAGGGATTGAGTTTCTAAAAATAATGCTACATTCCTCTGTAGCAAAAATGGGAGGTAAAAAGAAGATTAGCTTCTCAGCTGTACACCCCCTACACACACACACACACACACACACACACACACACACACATGCACACGCATACTCTCACTCTCTCTTAGAAGACACTGTGCCATTTTTTCTCATCTTTTCTACAGATTAGCACTTGGCTGGATGCTTAAGTTTAACTAGAAAAAAATAAATGATTACCTTTTATTGCTAAAGAAACCCAGGCACTGTTCTGTCCTGGAGTTGCAGTTTTGCTTCTGAGTGAGGCTGTCTCTGCTCCTGATAGCACATATTAGTTTCCTGTTGCTGTTGTAATAAGTTATGACAAATTCAGTGGCTTAAAACAACACAGGTTTACTCTCTTACAGTTCTAGAGTCTGTGGACTGACATAAGTCTCACTGATCTGACGTAAAGGGTTACCAGCAGGTGTGCATTCTTATAGGCCCTAGAGAGGATCTTTTTCCCCCCCAGCTTCTAGAGGCCACCGGCATTTCTTGGATTGCTGTCCTCTTCCTCCGTTCTCAAACCCAGCAAGATAGCTTCCCTCTGACCCTGCTTTCGTGGTCACACCTCTAACCCTCCCGCATCCTCTGTTTTTCGGTTCGTTTGTTTTGAGACAGAGTCTCACTCTGTCGCCAGGCTGGAGTGCAGTGGTGCAATCTCGACTCACTGCAACCTCCGCTTCCTGGGTTCAAGGATTCTCCTACCTCAGCCTCCCAAGTAGCTGGGACTAGACATGCGTACCACCGCACCTAGCTAACTTTTGAATTTTTAGTAAAGATGGGGTTCCACCATGTTGGCCAAGATGGTCTCAATTTCTTGACCTCATGATCTGCCTGCCTCAGCCTCCCAAAGTGCTGGGATTACAGCCGTGAGCCACCACACCCAGCCAACTTTTAAAGACACTTTAAGGACGTTGAGCCTACCTGATACTCAAAAAAAATCTTTCTCTTTCAAGTTCAGCTGATCAGCAAACTTTACTCTCCCTTTCCCATGTAACTTGATGTAGGTTTGGGGGGCTAGGATGCAGATATCTTTAGGGGACCACCATTCTGCTTTCTATATGGGGTAAATTTAGAACCATAAAAGAGGGCAGGAGATCTAGCTGGAAGTGCTGGGAGAACGTCTGTGTCCTTCTGGACTGGAATATGAGTGATGACATTGTGGGATCAGAGCCTACACTTCTGGAGGAAGAGGCCTCTCACATACTCAAATGCTGTTATTTTTATGTCAGAAATGATGTGTGACTTGAATTGAAAGCTGTGTCGCTACTTCAGAAATTCTAGGATTTTGAGGTTTCTTTCGCCGGTTACACTTTAAATGTAAACCAGAGCAACATGGAGACAGATTGAGTCATGCCAATCATGAAGCATGGACTAAATATTACAGCACTGTTTGCCCTTTATTACTTTCTTATTCTCTTTTGCAGAGACATTCATCAATGTCTTTGCTCCTTAAATATCTGTTTTTGCTATGTCTGGCCTTCACACTGGAGTTCCATGGGGCTGAGAGTTCTGTTCCTGTCACATAGAGCCATCTCCACACAGGTTTCCCAGAATTGCCTCAGAGAATCCTGTTTGTGGCTGGAAGGACCCCTGTTTTAACCCTCCAGCAGCTCTGGTTCCTACATAAGGCCCAGCAGTGAGGACAGAGAATTGAAGATTGACCATGTGAGCAAAGCTGATCAGAATGCAGAACACGTGCTATGTATGCGTTTCTGCAGCCTGGCTCTGTTTTTATTGAAGATGAAACCCTGCTGATCCTTTTTTCTGGGTTACCCAGAGCCTGCTTTAAACACCCGTTTTGTGTGTGTCAGAAACTCAACCGTTGTCCCCAAATGAAGGGACAATAAATGTTTACCGTTTAACCAACAGGAAAGCTTTCATGTCTCAATCCCGATTGCTTAGAAACGAGAAATGGAAGCGGTTTCAAACCCAGCTAGGTGTGATCATGCCTGCAGTTTGCAGCTTGGTTCCTGTTCACAGATTGCAGACACTAAAAGGCATGGAATTCAGCTGCCCTCACCTTTTGGCTCTGCAGGTTGGAATTTTTTTTCCTTTCTTGATGAATGTGGTTGCATTGCCATGAAAGGGCAGGAAGCTTTGCTGAGCCCTGCCTCTGGAGCCCAGCTGCACAACCTGCTGCCGATGGTGGAGAGCAGAAATAGAGAACAGAGCAAGGATCAATTGTTGTAGACTAAACCACGCTGCGTGGTGGGGTTAGGAAGCTCCATCCTCCCATATGTTTGCAATGTGAGCATGGCCATGAAGGAATTCAACGCTAACTACTCACATGAGTGAGTCACTGCAGTCCTGCCCCTGATGTCATTAGACCTCACTCCCCAGCCTCTGGAGACAGCCTGGGACAGACCTCCCAGCTGCCTGCTTATGACCAGTAAACATGCATGTCATGAAAAACATCAGTTGGAAAGAACAGAGGGGCAGCAACAGTCACATTGGAACTTCTCAGGGGCTTCTGAGACTTCTCTTAAGCAACGAATGTAATAGCTTGCCTTTGAAAGAAAAGACAAGGTAAAACTCTCCATCTAAAACAGTGTTCCAAGAGTGGCTTTATGATTAGAAATGTGTTACTTAGAAAGTGTGCTAGACTAGGCCTCAGGGTGTGCGTGGAATGAATGCGTGATGGGGAAAATGCATATCTAGATTTTCATCTAGCATCTAGCTGAGCATTTTTGAAGCTGGTCTAAGGAGACTCATGGTTCTGGGGTGGAACTCAGCACACCTGGCTCCTGTGTCTGTACTCACCACCCTGATTTAATTTAATTGCATGGCTTTTGTTTCCTTACATCACATGGGAGCTTTGATAATTCGGTTCCCAAGGGACTGAGCTCACCATATGGAACAGGCCCTTTTGCAAAATTTATATATGTGCTCACAGCGTTTTAAATTCACAAATGTACAACTCGAAGATGGAACCATTCCATTTCATGACTCTCAAAAAGTACAGTTTTTTCCATACCAGCAGTTCGTTGAAGGAATTGGACAATTGTCCTGCTTTGAGGGTGACTTGCTGTTCACCAAAACTGGTGGCTTTTTCACAGTGTGGGGGCTTCTCCACCTTCTTCTGTGCTTGAAAGACAGCTTTTCAAGATTCTCAGCTCTCATCATGTAACGCTCTCCCTCTTCTCTGCTTCCTTTAATTTCTCTTGCCTGTCTTTGATTTTTACTTGTATATAGACAATTGCCAGATTGGCCCCGCCTCTTAAATTATTCCCTAATACCCAAAGTAATTGCTGCCTCCCAGCCCTCTCCTACTGAGCTTTGTGTGTGACACCAGTGAACCGTCTCCTTAGAAATCAGTGGTCTCCATGGCACTGCTGTGTCTAAATTCCTTCTCCGCGTTCACAGACACCTCAGCTGCCTTCATTCCCTAGTTCTTCCTCTTGCCTCTCTTCAAGCAGGCTTCTCTAGTTTTGGTTTTATTTGTTTTGTTTTGTTAAATATGCTCTTTTTTTATCTGAACCTTTGCACTTGTGATTCTTATCGTGACACTTGTTTGACTATGACATCAATGTGGATGACCCTAGAAACCATGTCCTGAGCTCCGCCATCTCTAGAATTCAAGACCTAAATGTTCACCTTCTAAGTGTCTTCACATGGAGGTTATTTCCACAGTTTCCAGTGCATTCTGTTGAAGAAAGAATTCCTAATCTTTTTTTCACTTTATCTTTCTTGATTACCTTTTGAAGAATGGAGGGGCTATGATGGGATGAGTGTGTTTGTGCACAAGCATGTGTGCATGCCTGTGTGTGCACAAGCGTGTGTGCATGTGTGTGTGTGCCATGCATATTTTGGAGAATGTGGGAGGAGGGATGTAACATTGAGTTATCAGTGATTCTTCTCCTGCCTGACCCTTGTTTTTCCATGCACCCAGCCGGTCACCAGAGCTTATCCACTCCACTCTGCAAGGCCTCTTACAGATGACCTTCCTGCCACTGCCTGTACCAATATTCTTACTATAGCTAACTTATCTGAGCGCTTATTAAGCTCTTTTGTGGGAATATTTTGGGGGTTGAGGGAGTCTGTCACCCAGCCTGGAGTGCAGTGGCACAATCTCAGCTCATCGCAACCTCTGCTTCCTGGATTCAAGCCATTCTCCCACCTCAGCCTCCTGAGTAGCTGGGATTACAGGCATGTGCATTACACCTGGCTAATTTTTGTATTTTTAGTAGAAATGAAGTTTCACCATGTTGACCAGGCTGGTCTTGAACTCCTAACCTCAAGTGATCCACCTGTCTGAGCCTCCCAAAATGCTGGGGTTAAAGGCATGGGGCCACCACACCCAGCCAGTAATTT